TCCATGATGAAGACACGTGTCCTCGGTATTACCAAAACACTGTTGCTAAGATCAAGCACCATCGGCTCACAAAGGTCCCTCGCTCCCGAGGTACTCGTCATATGGGATCATGGCATTCAGTACGTTTTACAACCGACACGTAGCCTCGGTCTGATATTGTACCTCGGTCGGTATACCTCCCTCAGTTCCGAGATGAGCCTTTCCTCGGTGCCGAGAGGTACCCCGTCCTGGACGCCTCCTCTGCTCCAGGATAAGCTATTGACGTGCAGGTCATTAGCCTAGGCTATTCATCATGACCTCGTCTTACACAATTAATGTCAGAACGTACAGGAATGCAGGGGCCACAGCCAATGGGGGATGGACGCGTGGCATATGATGTCACATCAAAAACAACCGCATGCCGTTGCTGACACGCGACTTGGGAAAGCAAACGATTAATTACACCATTCCCTTGACGAGATTGCATTCAATGCGGTAAGGCTCAAACCTTAGCGTCGGGATGATCTTATCGCACCTCAACCCGATAAGGTCTCCTTTTCCTTCCCAACGATGGGATGGATCAANATCTTATCGCACCTCAACCCGATAAGGTCTCCTTTTCCTTCCCAATGATGGGATGGATCGATTATCCCATTGTGATGCCTGTTGTCTAATATTATATAATAAGACTGATACACCATAGCATTACCCTTCTTTATAATTCTAGACTGTATAGTGGATACACCAAGACTCCGAACGTCTGAAACACCAAAATTAATGTAGGTGTGTAAGCGTTACAACTCACTTAGTGAGCATGCTAGCATTATATAATAAGGAAACAGTAAAACAAATAAGGATTATGTTTTGAACAATAAACAACCTCGATTTCATCCTTAATAAACATTTAATAATGAAAAATATAAATCATGTTGTGATTAACAACTACTTCCCTCGAGAGTAAATCTCCCATTTATAAAACTAAGTTGTTCACACGTGCCTTGCACGTGGACTTTTTGAATTATGATTTTGTTTTTAAAATAATTAAATAAAAATAATAGCAAATACTTGCTTGTAAATATAACTTTTTGAATATTCCTATTATATAATTTGTGTAATTTGTAATAGACATAACACTAAANTTTAGATCCTAATTTGTAGGATTTGATAATTATCATGTATTTATTTATTTTTCCTTTCTTATTTCCCTGTATGTTCTATTTAAACACTTTAAGAGTTAATGAGAAGTTGTAGCCTTTCACTTATACTGGTTTATTTAACATATGGTTTCCCACAAATGTTAACAATAGCGGGATATCACCATTGTATACAAATGACTTTTAAATTGTAATTCTTGTGTTAATTAAATCTCTGAACTAATTTTCGAGTTAATTGAATTCCTAAACTCTAAAATTTTAGCAAATAAACTCTTGAACAATTTTTTGTGTTAATTAAGCCCTTAAACTCTAAAATTTTAGTAATTAAACCCTTATGTCCATAGCCATTAGGTTTTTGGATAGAATATTTCACGTGCTCACCGCATCGACAACATATTAAAAATATTTTAGACTGTTTGTTTGAAACTTATCAAATAAAGAACCTCATTCATTACACCCATCAAACGAAACCCTAAACCTAAAACCTCTTTTATACCCATCAAACGAAACAGATCAGCAAGCTCTTCGAAGAGTTTACATTTATATAATTTGTTTTCTACACCAGATTGAAGAGCTTGCTAATCTACTTCATATGATGGATATGAAAGAAGTTTATGTTTATGGTTTCTTTTGATGAGTATAAAGAATAAGGTTTTTTATCTGATAGGTTAATTGCTAAAATTTTAGAGTTTAGGGACTCAATTGACATAAAAATTAGTTTAGAGACTTAATTGACACAAAAATCATAGTTTAATAGTTATTTGTATAGTTTTACTCAATTTTTTTCTTCTATTTGAGGAACCATTACTATTTTTAATACGAAAAAAATGAGACACGAACCTTCAGAAACATCTCCAAGGGGACATCAAAGAGGGCATCGACTTCATCAGCATTGAGCAAAGGCTTGAATTCTCCTACTCTGTATAGCAGACCCACCACTGGTACTACTTTAAGTAGGTGCTACATTAAACAAAGAGAGAAACGTTTGTAATGTCCAATTTAGCCCACCAATAAATTGGATAAACGAAGAGAGAAATATTTTCTTTACCGAAGAAATAAAGGGTTCAAGATTCGCAACAACTTGAACAAGGCTTTGACCCAACCCAATCTCTTCCATTGCTTCTCTTAAAGCAGTTGCAGAGTCATCCACATCTCCTTCCTCCATCTTTCCACCGGGTAGCACTACCTCACCTTCATCACATAAAGATATGATGATATAAGGCCAAATTGCTCACGATCGAGGAGTAAAATAAGTCATGACTCTACTGATACCTTGCAAATTATTAGAGGCGCGGTTTGAAAATAGTCGAGTGGTGACTCAATCCCTCGTTGTTTGATTGATGAATTGCTTGTGATGGACTTTATATATAAGATGTTTTAAAATTGTGAAGTTAAAAGACCTAAACGTGAAATATAGTCGATATATGGATAAATCCTAACATGTTCTTACAACAAAAGAAAATCACCAAGTAACCTGTATAAACAAGGTTACTCTGTTTTTGTGAGAACTGACAGAAATATTGTCACATTTTCTATACTAAAACTCAATTATGAAACAAAATACAACCCCATCACCCATTTCTAAGACCTGTGTTTTACAAGTAAATACTGGTCCATGATTGAATATTTAAATAGAAATCGACTCGAAATCAAAGTACCATGAAAGAAAGTTTGGGGTCAAAGAATCCATTTTGCAAAAACCTTGGTAATGTAAAACATAGTACCTGGATGGGAGGACAGTTTCATGGATCTTTTGGTAAGAATAACACGTAGTTCACCCTCATGGCCTTCAAAGAGACATATTAGAACTGCTGCCCTCTTCTCCTTGGGATCGATTAGCGAAAATTCACTATTTCTACAAGCCATAGACTTGTTGATCGCTAGATTTGAGCTTCTAACATGATCACCATTCTCAGTATCTTCATTCAATACTACTCCAGGAGGTTTGTAAGATTGAAGCTGCTCTGCTAGACATCGAAGTGTTTCACAGCCGGCTGTCTCTACTGTTTGGTATTCAGTCTGACCGTCGTCCATGCACTCACCGGGCGCAATGCAAGCCATTGAAAGGTTTGATCTTTTGGCAAAAGGGGCGAAGCTAACTTGATTGACCACCCCTTACCGTCCTATTTAAAAATACTGCATAACTAGTGTTCAAAAAGCTTAATTCTTCCCGGTTTATTTTTTTTTTCNGCTAACTTGATTGACCACCCCTTACCGTCCTATTTAAAAATACTGCATAACTAGTGTTCAAAAAGCTTAATTCTTCCCGGTTTATTTTTTTTTTCGTTCAACATTAAGGGTACTTGGACGGATTTATGCACTTTTACTAATCTCTTTCTATTTTGGTCAAAGATAGGTCAATTATGTTAGAATTAAGGTATTCATGAGAGATAAATTCTTCTTAATCTGAACTCAAAAAATTATAAAAATTCTTTAAACTCAAAACATTTTGATTTACAATTCATTTGTCTGTCTCTTTTACCGTTTGAAGTACTTATGGGTGTTTTCTTTCCAGTAATGTACTGCCCTTTTGATTCCTAATAATGTATAGTTATTTTTTTAATCTCATTGTGTCCCAACCAAGTAAACTAGATATTTTATTTTTGGGTTACATGAAAAAAAATATAAAATACCTTGACCCATATTGACCTAAGATAAAATTATTATTTTATTTAATATATTATCCATTATTTTTCTAAAATGAATTATATAGCTGTCTTACTCTTTTTTTTTTTTTAGTAAGTTAGTAACTCATAATTCAATAAAATACGTTTAGGTAAACAGTGACAATGTGCTAACTAAAAAGTGTATTTTCTACTTTTCTAAAAAATCAATTTCTCAACAAGGTTGAGAACTTGTAACAAATAAATTAGCGTTAATAGCATTTTTAGCCATTAAAATATTTATTTTTTTATCATTTTGGTCCTTAAAGTATCAATTTTGCCCCCTAAAATATTTAATTCGTATAACTTTGGTCCCTAATTAGACAACTCATTAAGTTTTTTGATAAAAGTGAACACTTGTCACTCTTTTAGACAGTATCACGTGTCCAACACGTTATCATTCTATCAAAAATTTTACAATCCATTGATGTAGAGACTATTTTAACACGAACTAAATATTTTAGAGATCCAAATTGAAAAAATTGATACTTTAAGAGTCAAATTGATAAAAAAAAAAATCACATTTTAAAGACAAAAAATACTATTAACCTAGTAAATTATGATTTTATCACCGACTCTCACATTTTATACTTGGAAAGAAATGACTGAGAAATTGACTACAAAATCAATCAATTATAAACAATTTTTAGTGGTCAAGTTGGTGTTGTGTTTTGTTTTGATATATCATTAACACTAATCGTAAGGTTCACATAATAATTTAGTCTTGAATCTTAGAATATATTTTTATACTCAAAGTTGGATTTTTTTTTTCGTATCCCTTGTTTTTATTCATATTTTGCCCCCACAAAGATAAAATTCTGGCTCCACGCGAGATTGAGAGAACAAGAATCTAAAAAGATAGGATCTAATGAAAAATATGCTCTTTAATAGAGCATAAATTAAGAAACATGATTGATGTAGTCAATTTCAAATAATCAAGATGAAAGTTTTATTCGGATGAATTGTACAAGGGAAAAGTGAAAATTTTGGGCAAGACTTAAATTCAGCCAATTAAAATTAAGAAATATCCATGTAACATGTAAAGGTGTTGATATATAATTCATATAATCACGGCGTATTTTTGCTATTAGTAGATTAAGTACCGTGAATTTAAGTGATACCTATGCGTATAAGTAGCTTCCTTATTATATATTGTGAGTGATTTATAAAGGATTCATCCGTATAATCACATGATTTTTTTTTTTAAAAATAAAAAAGAAAGAAAGAAAGTTGAGAGCTAGTATATATTATAATCGCATCATTCTATTGCTCCAACGGACCATATTTCTCCCCTAGTGGGTGTGGAATGGCGTCTCCAACTTTGGTACAAAAGCTATGATCCCTCATCCCTGGATGCCTCTCCTACCAAGAAACAATATCATCACTTGTAGGATTGCATTCGAAACCACGAAAACGACTTAGAATAACCGAACATGAACTCCAACACTCTCTTTAGCCCGCGGATGCTCCCAACTTGAAGTACCTCCTGATGCCATGATGCCATATTCTCTCTCTCTCTCTCTCTCTCTCGCATGGGCACACACATGCAAGAAAAATATCTCATCTAAATTTTCACTTGCTTCATGAATTACAGCATCTATATGATTAATACTACTAAATTTAGTATCTTATATAGTGATTAGTTCGATTGATAAGAGTGTAGGTATATAACCTCAATATATCCCGAGTTTTTACATTATAAATATGAACCTTAATTAGTACGTTGGGTGAATGACACTTCGAATCTAGGAAGATTTTTAGATTCTCAATTAACACCCTGGAAGATTAAAATTTTCAAATTGTAACATCAAGTACATAAAAATATAGCAATATGGTTTGTTTTAATCAAACTGAGTATGAAATTTTTAATAACACAAATATTTTTTAAATAAATCCAACTGTTTTGTGATTTTGGACCACACTATACCTTTGTGTCCGATTGAAAATTTTTATCTTTCAAGATATTAATTGAGAATTTAATTATCTTTCAAAGTATAAAGTATTATTCATCCTAATATTTTACGTGGTGCAATTTAAGTTACTGTGGTAGAAACTATACTCAATCAACTCCACATATCTCATGTCTATTTAGTTTCATTATTGCTAGTCTATTACCAATCTACCTCAATTATAAAACTTATTTATCAATCTATTGTCATTTTTAACTTATTTACCAAACTATCACTGTTTTAAAAACGAATTTGACAAATCCGACTTCATTTGGAAAGCAAATTTAGTAAATCTGACTTTATAGGGAAAGCGGACTACTAAATCCGTCTTTATATGGAAAGCGGACATATCAAATCCGCCTTTATATGGAAAGTAGACTTACCAAATCCAAGGTGCAAACCTTTTATATGTATAATTGTGTTTATTGCCAAAAGAGTATTTGACTATTTATTGAATACGTTTGGTCTCTCTGATTCTATATTCTTTGTGAATCAATTACTCACTTTTATTAGTCGTTAAAAATCCATTAATATATTCTATCTAAATTCATAACCCGTGCCTGAAGGCACGATAAAATATAAAATTCGATCATCTAAAAAATCGATCTCACTATATTAAATATTAATAAAATATTAAATAATTAAATATATGATAAAAATGAGTGATTTATTTTTTAGGGAGAAAATATATAAAGTCAAGAATTTCGGGTGGTATCCTCCCAGTAAGAAAATTAGATGAAATATTAAAAGTTACTAGTTGAAACAAATTTTTCAACTCATTTGGCAACCCAGACATGAAATAATTTTTCGAGAGATCAAGCCTTTGGTATGTCCGCTTTCTAAACGAAGTCAGATTTGGTATGTCCGTTTTCCCTATGAAGTCGGATCTACCAAATCCGCTTTCCAAATGAAGTTGGATTTGTTAAATCCGCTTTCCCCATGAAGTCGGATTTGTCAAATCCGCTTTTAAAGCAACGATGATTTGGTAAATAAGTTGAAAATGGTAGTAGATTGATAAATAAGTTTTATAATTGGGGTAGATTGGTAATAGACTCCATTATTGCTGGTTAAGTATAATGATCAGTAATTTAATGTTTATCAAGTTTCTTACCAATTTTTTTTCCCCAATAATGTGACATAATCTCCATAATTTAATATTAAAGAAACTTACTTATTCGATGATGAAAACTGTGTCACATCACTATAGATGAAATTTTTGGCAGTGGTATAATGGTAATTTGGAATACATCATATGGCTGAGTTAATTTACACTTTTGGCCCAAGATTCAAGATGATTGTTAAACATACACATCTATCAATACTATTAATTCAAAGAGAGCCAAGCAACTTTTATTTTCTACCTAAATTACACTACATTCTCTCCAAGTTTTGCATCTGCTCTGACTTCCTTTAAGCTACTTTGCCTAATTCAGTTTTTGTTCTTGAATTTGCTTCTGGGTCAGTTTTTCATGGTCACGTTTAGTCTCCTAATCCGTTCAAAGTTGTGGTACTAGGATAATTGTGACAATAAAAAGTATGGGAGCATAAAGCACTACAAAAACTATCGTTTCTATTCAAAAAAAAAAAAAAAANCATGTTGATTTGTTATTAAATGGTGACACTACATGGTAATAGTGTAATGTCACCATCATATTCAATATTTTCTCCTATTTAATGAGTAAATATTGAGTGTAACCAATGTTATCAGATTCGGACCGGTCATCGAACCGACAAAGAGACCGGGTCAATGGTTCACTAGTTCAATTATCAGGTTAACTGATCATACCAGTCATATAATAAAAAAATAAAAATATATATATAAGAATTATAAAACATAATAATTTAGCCAAAAAATATAAAATGTGTCTAAAATGCATAGAATTTGCCATAAAATTAATGAAGTTAAGTAAAAGAAAAAATCCACAATGACAACAAAAATTCCAATTTACAATCCCACAATTTCAATTCACAATCCCACAATCTTAATTCATAAAATCCACAAACAAACAATAATAGCACAGCAACATCAATAATAGACCATTTCAATTACATTAACCTATGTCAACTCAGTCCACATAATTCACTGATGCATCAACCTAATACTTCTGAGGCAACATAACAAACTAGCTACCATGATGCATTTTTATTGTAAACCCACTCCATTTTGGTTTTTTTTGTCATTAATCAGTATTTTGTGTTTTATTGGCAGATTTGCAACAGGATCTGAAGAATATTCTTAGGAAAATTGAAGTACAACTCCTAGAGAAAGGAGAAAGGAGGAGAGGACAACTATTTTACCTTAACAATTTGGGGCGGTCGCCTAAGTTGTCGCCTCCTTTAGCTGTTGTTCGTTGTCGGAGAGATCACCTGAGTTGTCGCCTCCGCCTGGGTTTCGCGCAAAGCAGTAATTGCTTGAGTTGTCGCCTCTGCCCGAGTGTCGCACAGAGCAGTGTCGCTGGAGAGAGAAAAAACTACCTCCCTGTCGTTGTGTTGCCTCCCTGTCTCTATGTCGTGCAGAGCAGTGTTTCCTTCTTCGCTGCCTCCCTGTCACTGGAGAGAGAAGAAGCTGCTACCTTCTGCTTCTACGAGATTTAGGGCAAAATAAAAAAAAAATGGGCCAAAAAAAAATTGAACCGTTCAATTTTTTTTTTAGTTTTATTGACTTCAAATCGTCTAGTTCACAATTTTCTTCAAAAATCAGCTGATTTGACAGTTTTTATCTAGTTCCCATACTTATCCGGTTTAACTAATCAACCGGACCAATCAAGGTCTTGGTTCATGGTTGAATTGGTTGGACCAGTTCCGATTCTAATAGCACTGAATGTAACGGTGACATCACATCATCAATACCACATATAGTATCGCCAACCAATTATAAAAACAACAAATGAGATTGGTGAACCCCAGTATTCTAACATGACAAAGGTAATTATGAGTAGGTAGTAAAATAATGGAGCCCACTAAATTTACTTAGTATTCTATCACTTATTGGTGACACCACATTATCAGCGTCGTGGTCTCACTTTTACGACAAAATTTTTTTCCTATTTAACCCATTAGGGCTTGCCATGGGTTGGGACGGATAATGAAGGGCCAGTCATAAAAATGTAGTCCAGCTAAAATCTGGTCCAGTAGGCCTGGCCTTGGGCCAAAATGTTAGAGATAATTTTCCGACATGGGTCGTGCCATGGACTGACAAATCTAGCCTATGTTGGCCAATGGTTTATCTTCCACCTGCCAGCTGGCGCCGAGATGGGTCGAGGTTGACATATGTTGGGCCTTTAATAGGCCAGAGTTCATTGTTGCTCCAGGGCCGCTGGCTCTGATACATGGGAGTTAAAATTTATGTGTATCTTAATTAATTTTTTGTTTGACGTGGTCAATGTCAGATTGTTGACGTCGAAATTAGAATATTCATTATTCACGTCGGAACTAGAATATTCATGAGTAATAAATTTTTAATAACTTAACTTCAAAAAATTACCAAAATTCTTATTTAAGACGTCTAAATTTATAATTTATCTCTATTACCGCTCCGACCACTGCTTGCTATTTGCGTTGATTTCGGCTTCGGCTACTGTGATAAAACTACTTGCTTTGAAGTCTTTGACAGGTCTATCACACCCAACCACCCTAAGCTTAATATGGACGTGTTGCATTGACAGGATAAACAAATGAAGAAGAAGAAGAAGAAGAAGATCAGATTGCAAGATAGGGTATGCAGATGTCTCATTTCCTTTTTCTTGGCTTCACATTCACTAACCCAAAGAATATCATGGATAAATATTGCCAAGTCTAATTGCTGTTCTGCATTAATTCATTTGGTAAGGCTGCCGACTTGAAGAAACAAATCAGATTTCAGCAATCTGCGTAAGCTGTGAGATAGATTGTCGATTTCTTAATGACCCAATTTACACCGGCAATGCAAAGCACCATTGTTCGCCACCACCCGAGAAGCAAAAGATTCGAAAGTCCAGGCTGACCTATTTAAGCACCCTTTTAGCACTTGGAAAGTAGGTTTCATTGCCTTAATATAACCTCATAACATAAACACCAACTTATGAGAGCAATTAGACGATTCTTTACCAAAATACAATCAGTCAATAACTACAAGTCTTCTAATATTCCAATTCCACAAGATCGATTTGAAATGATGTCGCCACAGTGAGAAACGTTTTAGTTCTTAAACCACAGGAACAAAATATAAAGAGCTCAGTTGTCCCTATACGTTAAACTCAGTTGCCATACATTCTCACAGTGCATTGAGCCGAAGTTTCTTTTGTGTTTCCAAAACTAGAGCTGTCTTCTTGTATGTATCCTTCCGGGAAAGACATATATAAGAACTGGAGTTACTGTCTGTCATGTTGTACTTCAGTTGATAAGCATAGAGTGAACATAGCTTCCTTCATCTAGGGTTTTAAGAAAGAAGATTAGGGTTTTCTAGAACATTAATTAATTTCTTATTTCATAAGACATGATGAGGACTCGCAAGTAAACTCAACAGTTGATTTTCCTCTATATGTATATATGCTCTTTACTTTTTCTTCTCTCCAAAATACACGCACATACAGAAAAACAAGATCATTTTCCTTCATCTTGTAGTTTGATCTCAAATAGAGATTCTGCCAACAAAACTCGAATTCCAAGGCAACAAAACTTAAGGGAACTCGATAAGAGTCACAAGGATTCCTTATATGCAACCTTCTTATCTCCTTTTTTTCTTCTGTTTTATGTGTTTTTCATGCTGGATTTTGTCCTTCAAGTTCCTTCGTTTAAGTAGGATACTAGGATGTCTAACAGAATAAGCCGAAGCCATTTCATGTCCAAGAGGATTACTAGTACTACACTTAGTTTGCGGTTATTATCAAATTAATGTAACATCCCAGACCATAGAAAAAAATTCAAAGAGAAAAGCAAATACAATTATGGTTTTACTACGGCAAGAGGTTCCATGGCTTTAGGGCTCATGGAAGAGTAATGCTAATTGGAACAAATTAATGACACAATTTTCTGATTTGATCAACTAACACATGCAGTTGGATTAGCTATGAGTGCCCGTATTGAATAGAGTCTGTTGTTAATCCAACATCATCAATGAACTAGATTAGTAAAATTTTCTATTCTTCTATTTAAAAAACATCCTACTCTCTCTTGGAGATTCGCTATTGCTTCATGAAATTACTGCAAAGATGGAGGAGGTATTCTTGCAAGGAAGTTTCACTGGATATATGATCAAATTTGGTGCTTCATACACACCAATCTAAGTAGCTTGATGTCTCAAAAAATCGGAAGATATGGTCAGAAACAACAAACAAGGATAAACAGTGCTATTACCTCCTGTGATGATTCAAGACAATCAGCAAATGAATTCTCTAAAACAAGTACCTCAAGATCTCACTTAGAACGATGAATTCACATAGTCAGATCCAGAGTACTTGCCCTTCTTGCATTCTTTGCATTACCATGTTCTTTTGACCTGCTAAACTTTGAGGAAGAAGGTGAGTACAATGACAGTGATAAGTTACTGTCATCCTCATTATCCTCTAAACCTCTCTGGCTCTCATCGTTTTTGCTGCTGAACCCAAGAGAGAGATTCAAATCAAGCTCGCAATCTGAAGCTTTCCTTTTTTCCATTGCCCGCTTTTGAAGACCCATTGATTTGTTCACATCTAGAGGGATACTGCTGTTTATTTGACTGGTTTCCTCTCGGAATTCTGTGTGCAGTTGCTGTAAGGGGTTGAACTCTAAAGTACTTATTCTGGATTGGCATCGCCCTGGTTCATGATTGTACAATGATCTGAATTCATCCTTCAATTCTGAGAAAATACTACCATGGCGCGCACGATTTCCTGAATGGTTGTAGTTGCTTCTATAGATTCTCTCAGCAGCTGAAACATATTCCTGACTGGACTTATCGATTGCACTCCGCCTGGTGTAGGGGCTAAGCATCCAGTTCTGATGACCACTCAAAAATGCATGTCCATATCTTGAAAAAATAGGCATCTTATGTGAGATTAGGCACATTGAATTAAAAAGCCCTAAACAAAACTAGGAAGTAACTTGAGATTGCTAACTTCCATACCTCATGGTAGAATTATGTCTTTGGCTAAAGCTTTGGAGCATTGGAAGTTGGCTGAGGTTGTAGATGTTTTGATCTCCGCCTTCCATGACATGCCTATGATCAGTTATTACTGTCATGGAGAAGACACTTTAGAGCACCATTTCTTAATGAAAACCCTAATTTTGTTGTAATAAGTACAGACAGAAAAGAAGAGAGAGTATCATACCTTTACCAGAGTCATCAATCTTCTTGCTTCTATACATCTAATCACACATATCGAAAAGCAAAAGAGAAGAAAATATATATCAAGGAAAAGGGTATGGATCATGATGTCCTAAATTAAACTCTAACATGTGAAACGAGGAATTAAGAAGTAATACAGAGATCTAGTTTGCAAATAACCTGTAAATGACTCTTGACATGAGAGATGTTAAGTCCTTTGATGCTCATTAGTTGAAGAACCAATTTGGGTGTTGCTCCTGCAGCAAAAGAATGAAGAATAAGGCCACTTACCTCCATAAATTGACTCGTAAACGCAAAGAAGTTGAGATCGATCCAGGACTAATTGACTTAAGTTGAGCAATCGATGAACTCACTATCTTGTCCACCGAGTCTCTCTACAGCATGAATGAAACGAATATGCAGATCAGGCGTCCACCGGAGTCTTGGCATCTTGGATCGAACATAAGGCCGGACTGATGGCTTCTTCTCATTCTCTTCAACTGTGCTGTTGCTTGAGCTTCCGCCATCTTTTTGCTTATAGACCTTAGTGTTGTCTTCGCTCTCTTCCTCATCCTCATTTTGGTCAAAAGGGCAAGTCTTGGAACATTCAATGCCATGGTCTTCCTCCATCTTCATATATACCTTGGTTCTCCCTTTCGGTTTCTCTATATGGTAGAGGGATTTTGAATTGTAATAGAAAACGCACATATAGGTTAAGAGGACAACTCTATGGTCATTGATTTGCAACAAAAACTGGGCTGGAGACGATAATCAATTCAGGGACTGCTTCCTTGTGGACAGATAAGGAGTGGCCTGTATTAGCTTTCTTCTCTCTCCTCATGCTTCCTCCATAACAGGACAGAGAAAATAATAGTGTTCTTGGGAAGAAGAGGCAGCAATCTCAGCCGAGAATTCTATTCAGTAGGCTCGGAAAAAAATGAGTTACAGTTCTCTCTGCAACAAATGGAAACTGAAACCCTAGACTTTGACAAAGAAGGTGGACGACTCTCCCTCTCTCTCCAAATAATTATTGAACTCTTTTGAATGCATGTTATTATATCATGTACATAAGCATGCAATACATGTATGCATGTTATTGTATCATGTACAAAAGCATGCAATACATGTATGCATCCATGAATGGTGTTGTGGAGAGATGAGGAAAAAAACATCAGCCTTATAATAGCGACAATATTGTATTGTCCAATTTCTAGAAAAGCATTTCTTACGTAGAAAACACCAAACTCCGTCAAAATTTCTAGTATAGTTGTTGATATCTAAGTCATTTTGATTATTCTGGATGGACATTGTGTTTATATTAAAAAAAGTTTGAAAAATCATGTGACTGTCCTAATTCATCGAAAACTATGCCATCAACAAATTTCAATCAGAGCTGCGAATGCCAAGATATTGATTAAATTTAAAAACTAAATTTGAAGTTTAAATGACATGACAGTTGATTATTTGAAGTTTTTATTGGAGTCCAAATAACATGACACCAATTAAAAAAATCCAAATCAACTACTATGTCATTTGGACACTAAATTTAGCCGTAAAATTTGGTTAGTATGTATGAGTGTAATTTATTGAACAAGTCAAGTTCAAAGTAGACCTTTGTTGGAATTTTGTCCATTCATTCACTCGAGGGAACGTCTTGGGACCTTCGCTATCTGTGTATGCTTGTGAAGATATAAATTCTACCATTTGAATTTTTACATACAGTCTACATCAATTCATTAATTGTGGGTAATTACACTGAGTAAATCTTTCGTCCTAACTGAGATAATGCCAATTGATTAGGGCCCTCTTTTTGGACTTGATTGTAGTTCCAGAAGATGGTAACACTTTTGGGGTAATCTTTTGGTGGAAAATCTTTGAACTTTAGAAAAACAAAGCTAAACTTTGGTTATCCTAGATCATAAACAGTGATCAAATTGGACACTAATGTTGATTGAAAATGTTTGCTAACAGTCGATCAAATGATCTCAAACTCAAAAACTTGGGCACAAAGATTAAAAAAAAAACCTTAAATTTGAAAAAAAAACACACAAAAAAGTAGATTTCATTTAGTAATTGTAAACCATGAGAAAGCAACATTAGATTAGAGAACCCTAAGAGATGACTCAAATGGTAATAGCAACGAGTTATAAATTACGGATATTTCGTTAAGGTTGACGTACCTGTATCGGATACCATATTGGACACGATACTCGAAGATATGTATCGGATACATCTTCTACGTATCCGATAATAATTATATATTAGGATATTTCACGAATATTTTTGTAATCGAGCAACATATATAATTTTTTAGTTGAACTTTTAATATCTCTTTTCAAATTCACATACCATACAATACATTAACAAAAAATTCATATTACTTCAAAAGCACAAATGTTTTTTAACTATTATCTATAATTGCATGTCAAAAGAGTATAAAATAAATCTATTACATTATAATCTTAGCAAAAATTACTTCTAAATATTAGGTAAATATTAGTTTTGATTTTTTTAATTAGTTACTTCACTTTGTGAATATACCACAGCGACACGATCTATATTTTCTTGAAACTAAAAAAAATTACTAATTTTTCTTATTATATGTTAAAAAACTACCAAAATATATAAATATTAAGTTGGTTGAAAGTAATAACAATATTAAATATATTTTATTATTGTCGTATCTTGGCCGTATCCGCATCCTACTTTTTTAGATTTTGTCGTATTGCCGAATCTGTATCGTATCGTACTCATATTCCGTATTCGTATCCGTATCCATACTTCATAGAGGATGAGTCATAAACTCAAACATCTTGAGTTTGAATCTTGGCTTTGGGTCTAAGTCGTGAAAGGATTTATCTCTTATGAATACTCTAATCTCAACAAAAATGATATGCTTTTAACCGGAATGAAAAGAGAATTAATAAATAAAGTGCGTGTAAATTAATCCAAACACCTTTGACTTACACGCAAAAAAAAAAAAAAAAAAATTATAGATGAGAGGGTATATGAATCATCATGTGCAATGCCTTGCTAGCTGTTTGTAATGCTGACCAAAATTCTGAAGAAAATATGCATGTTTGCAGCTGCCTTTACGTCGGGAATCACGGGGATTGCTCCCGCTCGGGAGTTGGGACCTAGCATCTTGCTCAGTCACCCCCTCAACTCAATATTTACGAGACCTATTTGGGACCTAATTATAATTTTTCGATATGGTAACTCGATTCCTTCCACATATGTGGAAAAGTATCATAAACACTTTTTTGGATTAAATTTTAGGACAAAATTTGGGAACAATGAATGGCCACTGTTTCATTACCCAAAAAAAGAACGTTATAAATGTCCTTCTTTATTTTTTTAGCATTTTGTAATGAACTTTGAACCTATAAAAATTAATCAACGGGATAGTTGCCTTGAATTAGTTTCAGAATACTGAGTCTATGGGTGGAGGCAGCAGAAAGGGGGTGGGGTTTAATTGACCCCACTTAGTTTGTAAATCCTTTTTTGACCACTTCTGGTTGGGGTCAATATGAAGGTGATCATAACTAATAATCATAGTGAATTCATTTACATAAGAGATAATTTTTTTGTATGCTTCTTATATAGTTATATACATTTACAATCGCAAATTGTCAGGCTGGGATTGTATATTAGCCATGTTTAATCGAATTCACATCACGTGTAGTGGAAATCCACATGTTTAGTTACCTCTCGTACCTTCTAATTTTTTTGCAATTGGTATCTAGCACTAAGATGCCTAATCATACAGTAAATTTGTGTGACAATTCAGACAATGTTGTCAAGATACCTAATGTTGTGACAATATACAATATTGTTGGTTATTAGAACGCATTTTAATACTATAATACAAAATGAAAATGAAAACAATAAGTTAATACATTTGGAAAAATAAAAAAGAATAAGAAATCAAAATTAAAATGTCGTGGATTCCTAATAATAATAATTCAAATTCATTGACCTAATTTACAAAACCCTAATAATTAAACGTAAAAATGAATTACATAAATAAACTAGGCCTAAACTAAAGTGCTCAAAACTTCAAGCAGGCTTAGGTTAGGCCGAATTGAGCTTGGCCTTAATCCTTATTTTTGCATTGGTCCCTTAGCAATTCTATGAGCCCCTGAAGGTCATGAACACATTTCCCTTTCCTGCTGTATGTGGCATTAACTAATATACATAAACTGTAGAGCTGTGAGGTTGAAGACGACCTTTACAAGTTGTACAAGAGAACCTTTTTCATTCTTCCTCCGTGTACAGGCATGGTGTTTAAGGCACAATGGTTCATTTTCTTCTTTTAATTGACAACCATATTAGGTACTTTCTTCACGGGCTGCTTGAGTTCAGTGGTTAGATAAAAAGTCTTAAAAAACACCTGAAAAGAGGCTTAGAAGGCACCAACAAACATGTGGATCAGGAAAGTGGCTGGAAGATGTCAAGCTCATGGCTGAACCTCTAGAATATTTCCTTTTTCTTTTTATATATACTTCGGTAGATCCCTATTGTAACAAACAATCCATTATTACAATGTAGAACAATGAATCTACAGTAGAAAAGAAAACACCCATGTAGGGAATTGTTTTAGTACTTCAAAATACACTTGAAATTCTATAATGAGGGAATGCATATAGATGACAATCAATGGAACTTCTAACTTCGAAAATCATTTATTACCAAAAACACATCTAAAATCATTCAAGACGAAGTAAATTAATGGAAAAAAAAGTAAAACTATGTTGAGATTTGTATTTGTTTTTGCACACTAAATAAAATTCGAACTCTTTCAAAGCTGAGAAGTAACCTCGGTATATTAATCAATACACATATTGCATACTCTAAAACTAATAATCATGATAGTACACTACAACAAAAATTATTTTTTGTGACGATTTTTTTCGTCGCCAAATTAAAAATAAATCGTCGCCAATTATTTTTTGCGACATTTTCTTTTCATCGCGTGTTCGTCGCAATAGCCTCGTCGCAGAAAGTATTTTGCGACGCAAATTTATTTTCACCGCAAAAAAAAATAATTTACAACGAAAAAAAAAACGTCGCTAAAAGTAAAAAAACGTAGCTAAAATCTATTCCACCAGCGTAAGAAAATAAAAAATAATAATTTAATTAATTTTTTGCGACGTAAAAAAATCGTTGCGAATGATATTTAACATAAATAAAAAATATTAAAAATAATAATTTAATTATTTTTTCGCGACATAAAAAAATCGTCGCACATAAGATTTTCATAAATAAAAACTATAAAAAATAATAATTTAATTAATTTTTAGCGACGTAAAACAATCGTCGCGAATAATTTTTTGATAAAAAAAATGTAAAAAATAATAATTTAATTAATTGTTGCGACGTAAAAAAATCGTTGCAAATAATTTTTAATATAAATTAAAAATGTAAAAAATAATAATTTGATTAATTTTTCACTACGTAAAAAAATCATCGCTAATAATTTTTACGTGAAAAATAATTGAATAACAATGTTCTGCGACGATTTTAATTTCGTCGCAAAAATTTTCTTTTTTTAAAAAAAAATAATTCATAAAAATAATATTCCAATAAAATTTTTCACCTATACACCATTAATACCTGTGTTTAATAAAAAAACTAATACAATTAATACATTTCGCACTTTTTTAAAAAAAAATAAAATTTTATTTCAAAAAAAAATGAATTACAAGAATCAAAGAACATTAAGTTCTAAAAATAAAAAAAATGGCTTTAATCCTTCAAGAGGATTTAAATCATCTCTAATTACATTTAATGTCTCTTAAACTTGAACACCTTCAGCAGTCCAGCTCCATGCCTTGAAATATCATCTTCAAGCTCAACAAATCAGTACCATTAGTTTAAATCAACAGTGACATCGCTTGGAGCCTCTTTATTTATGACAGATTAATGTAGAGAACTCCAGTTTATCATGGCTAATTCAAGAGCTTTTTAATCTGGTCCTTGTTGTGAACTAATACTTCTGAAGTTCAATAATTGCATTGATCAGAAGATCCCTATCAATAGGGCAAGAGAGAAATGTTAAGAAGGATTTGAGCATAAATAACTCGTATATCAATGCTCAAGGTAAGAGCATAAATAACTAATATACTTCAACTCCTTTTATCTTATAGGCAAACGAGAAATCTTATAACTCGTATATCAATGCTCAAGAAATTGAGTATAAATACTAATATTCTTCAACTCCTTTTATCTATCAGAACAAACATGCAGAAAATATCTCCAAAACCACAGTGCAGTAAGTGAGGCTCCTATAGTAAAAGGAAAATTAACTCTATTACCTCACCATGAAGCTTATGTCTGAACTAAATGACTAGAGAGTAAAAANTTGTGAACTAATACCTCTGAAGTTCAATAATTGCATTGATCAGAAGATCCCTATCAATAGGGCAAGAGAGAAATGTTAAGAAGGATTTGAGCATAAATAACTCGTATATCAATGCTCAAGGTAAGAGCATAAATAACTAATATACTTCAACTCATTTTATCTTATAGGCAAACGAGAAATCTTATAACTCGTATATCAATGCTCAAGGAATTGAGTATAAATACTAATATTCTTCAACTCCTTTTATCTATCAGAACAAACATGCAGAAAATATCTCCAAAACCACGTTGCAGTAAGTGAGGCTCCTATAGTAAAAGGAAAATTAACTCTATTACCTCACCATGAAGCTTATGTCTGAACTAAATGACTAGAGAGTAAAAAGAATGCTCCTTAATTCCCTATGTCAATCAATATTGCAAAGAGAATGTGTTTCACTCACCAAAACAATAACGTAAAAGTTCCAATTCATTTGCTAGGTTGATTCGGGCACCATAAATGAACATTGCAGTGACTGTCCAACAAAGACAGCAAGCAGGACCAGCTGAAAGCACCAAAAACCATGGGATAAAGCTGAAATCCAGCTAAAGTCCAACAGGGAAGCAACAGCTAAGAGCCAGCAGCTAAGGAGAGTCGTTGAAATTCCATCAGCATCAGCCTAGCAAAGTAAGCCAGAAAAGTGGCAAAGAAGAAAAGGGAGAGCCAGAAGAGAGCAGTTGAATTCTAGCTGTGAATCCAGCTAAAATGAACTAGTAAACTAGCAAAGGATCAGCTNACAGGGAAGCAGCAGCTAAGAGCCAGCAGCTAAGGAGAGTCGTTGAAAATCCATCAGCATCAGCCTAGCAAAGTAAGCCAGAAAAGTGGCAAAGAAGAAAAGGGAGAGCCAGAAGAGAGCAGCTGAATTCTAGCTGTGAATCCAGCTAAAATGAACTAGTAAACTAGCAAAGGATCAGCTCCATACCAGACAAAATCCAAAAAACAGCAGAACAGAAGGCATCAGCAGCAATAGGCAGACTGTTCACGTGAACAGTCACGTAAACAGTGCACAGCACAGCACAAAGGAGAAAAAGAAGCCCTACAGCATAACACAACACCATTCCAGTCAAAACAGAATAATGCAACACCAAGCCAGCACCTCCAATAGTAGGAAAACCAAATGAAGAAGAGGAAGGCAAACAAGGGTTGGCTTTAACCCTTCAACATGAAAAAACCTTTAAAGTCAGAACCAAGTAGGAACTTTCACCAACCAGCTGGAAATACCCTACCCCAGAACCAGCAGCCCAGAAGCACATCACACACTGCATCCAAACTGATACTGAACCAAGGAAGCCGTTTAAAACTGCCCAGAACACCAAGTAGCACATACACCTCCACAACATCAATAACACCTCCCAATCCCTTGACAGTGCACACAAGCAAAAGAGGGGATGACCAGAAAGAAGGAATAGGCAAGGCAATCACAACATGACCCCCAAACCATAGCAAAGCACCTGCACCATAGCACACAGCCACGTAGCAGCAGACTGACAGCACAGAAGCACCCAGCTAGGAAAGGCACCAACAACCAACCTCAAGCCAATGAGCACAACCAAAACCAAAAGGACGGAGAAACACAACAAGTGACACCAGAGGCACACCTCACCAAACATAACAGAAAAGCCCTAACATTACACAAAACTCCTCCTCCCAACTGAACTCAGACAATAAAATAGCTCACTGCCCAGCACCCCAAGCAACACCTGCACATCCACATTAATCACAATATCATCCAACCCTATGTCTGTTATCACATACACTCATCTTCTTCAATCTTATAGAAGGCATCATGCCTTGGTCCTGCTGAAGAAGTACTCTTCCAGCAGTGGGTAGCTTCCCATTTTCAGAAAAATCAGAGTTTCTACCATAAAAGGACTACATAAGAAGCCAGAAATTCTACAATGCTATTGGCATCCTGATACACATGCTTGATCTGGAAATGCAACTTTCCACAAAGTAATATCCATGATTTTCGGTTAAATAGAAGAATATTACTATAAAAAATAGTGTGCACCCAAAGATAAGAATAAGAAGAACGTACTAAATATTTCTCTTAAATATATTTCATTCACATTCCTGGTGAGCTCATCAACACGAAGAACAGAGACTCAGGAATAGGCGAAGTTTTCTTGAAATTAGATGCAAATGTGAACATAAGTAAAAGCACTAATAAGTAATAACAAAAAAATAACAATTAAAAATAAAGTGAATATCATATAATCTTCTCATATTGTAACTTAAGCAGCCAAATGATCAGCAAAAATGCTACGCAGTTTAACAGACTAACAAACTGAGTGAGAAACAGAGGAGGACTTACATTAACTTGCCATGGATAACAAGAATGCTTACAGAGTTGAAATTTTTCCATATCAAAGTCTCTAACTCCACAATCATTATTGGAGGCTATAAAATGAACTGCCTGACCCATTAAGAATGCAATAAGTAATGTCTATGGATATTTCATCACGGTCTAGTCCACCTGCAGAATGCAGATTGAACATTTTTGATAAGATGCAATCCTTAGATAATTACTTTGCATACTCTGCAGCAATAACCCACCAACACAAAATTTTCTAACATAAGCAAGGTAATATAACTAGAAAATGCGAGTTCAGGTAACAATGACATACACCAAGGCAAGAAGATGGAGAATACTAGTTGGGGAAATTTTGAGTCGTACAAAAGTTTCATGCTCTAGCTCTTTCCTAAGAATATCAGCTGCTACAGGATCAAGTTGAACACCATGCAGGTCACCGGACACACTATGGGAACGAATCATGCTTGAGGAAGCTATAGGCATCTGCTCTCCATTAGCATTTACATGGTCTAGTAGATTCTGAAACAAGGTTTCACAGTCAGGAGCCTGCTCATTTAACTTTGAACAGCAATTCAGTAAAAGGTTGATTTTTTTTTTCAGAGAAGTAGAAAGTGAACCAATAATCTTCATTTCTCAGGATTTACACTTGCTAAGTATTTTGTAGAAGTTTTCTTATGCAGCATTTCCTACATCAACATGAAACTCAAATAAGAAAATGCAGTGAATGAGAAACACTACCACAAAGTAAAACTGTTAGTCAACTGCCTTGCCACGCATGCAAGTCAATATGTGATAGCCTTGATAACTTTCCAAAAAAGTAGAACAAGATTGTTGTTACAAGTTCAATTCATCTAGTACAAAAAAGGAAAGAAATACATTAATAAATTATCAGTCAAATTTTTAAAAAACATATAGGTTTTCTAAATCTTAAGTGCTAAAATTTCTAGTTGTTCCCCGTTCGCTTTCACGGCAAACGGAGTTGAAACAAGCCAATTGGCCCCCTTAGCTCCAAGTTTTAGTTTTTATACTTCTTAAGTGTTGAACATAAAACGATAGTAAAAAGATACTAAGACTCAAGTTGCATGAAATCTAAATGCATTATACTGCCTTTGGTATACAGGTTGCATGTTTTGTGGGGAAACTAATAGAGCAGGCTTGAAAAACTACTTAATAGAGTCGAATCTTCACTTAATGAGTCATTGTTTTTCTTGGAAATAACCTTGAATGCCCTTACAATTATGTGTAGTTATTTTTTTTTACCTTTTGCTGATTCTCTTTAATACTTAGATTAACCAGCTATTCTCCTGATGTAATGTTTTGGGGTACTTGAATGGTTTGGAGTCTTTAATGGTTTGGAGTCTTCACATAAAGGAATGTGTTTTAGTAGGCCATAAAGGTTATAAAGATAAGGATTTGGATCTCCTCAATATCAGTTATCAAACTTTCCATAGTTTAGCCCCCAATGCAAAGGCAATTCAATAAAACCCAATTCAATATCATACCAACAGGAACAAAACAATTTAACCCAATGCCCATAGCTGTCCAAAAATTTAGAAACATCCAGAAGACTAACAGCAGAATCAACTAATTCCTTTCCACATACTTAGTTCAAGCTAAGCAACCAATCATAAATCCGACAATTATAATGAAAACTATGACCCCAGCACTGAAAATAGATGCAACCCAATTCAAGCAAGATGTCCTGTGTGTCCCACTCATAGCTATAGTGTTATCAATCGCTAAAACCACAACCACAATTAGGTCCAATAAATTAAACCCTTCAGCAAAGGAGTTCACTCGAATTCTAAGGAAATCCGGATCAGATTTTATCATACTAGCAAAATAAGAAGACCATGAATGCCCTAACCCAGCAGCACCAACAACGGCCTCTAGTAAAATATTACCCGTAGCTATAAAAGCAAGAAAATCACTCAACTCGATTCGAAGAAATGAGAAAGACCCACCTGCCACAGGTATTTCCACAGCAAATTCAGTGTAACAGAATACTGATAGCAACGCAGAGAGGCCTGAAGTGGCATAAGAAAGAACTATAGTTGGACCAGCATCGTTGTGGAGAGGTTTTGGAAGGAGGGTGCTGGGAAAAAGTCTTGTTTGTTGAATCGCCAGTAGGATTTTGGTGGTGGTGGTTGTGGTGGTTCCATGGCGGAGGATTTGGAGTGAGAGGCGAAATGGGTATTGAGAGGAGTGATCAAATCTTGAGAGATTTGAGAATCAGTGTTAGAATCAACCATTATTACCAAAATGTAGGCTCAAAGGAAAAAATTTTCAATATCCACCAACTGATTTCAATATAAGAACACATCTAATTACCAAAAACAACTCACCAAAAAATATTTGGAAAAACAAGAACAAAAATTTATATAAATCCACAAACAGAGATTCAATCAATCAAAAAACAAGAACTATGACACAATTGAAACCATAAAGAAACAAATTTGAAGCTTTAGGGTTTTACCTTCGCATATCAATAAGAAACTTAGTTAAGGGGAGGGGTTTAGGTGAAATGAGAATACCTAAACCAGCAAACGATGGTCTAAAGCAGCGAACGATGGTCTGAAGCTTCGATGGAGGTCTAAAGCTTAGATGGTCTGAGTCTGGCAAAGAGAGACAGAATACCTGAAGCTTTGAGCAAATCTAAAGCTTCGATGGAGTTTTGAGGTAGAGAGAGGCAGGGATCAATGGGGCTTTGTGGATAATCCAAGAAGAGCCAGAGAAAGGCAGAGAGAGGCGGAGACTAGCGTGAGGGATTTATCTGGGCTAGCTACACTTATTGAGCGAAAAACATGTTATGGGAAATAGACAGTCAGATAGGAAAAATTTATATTCTGCGACGTTTTTAGAAATGTCGTTAAAAACTTTTAAGGTCTAATTTAAAATTTCTAATCATCAATTCCCGCCATTCATCGCGCCAATAAATGTTAAAAGAATATGACTTTTTGGCGAAACGTCGCAAAAAATATTTTAAGTTTAATTTAAAATTAATGAATTTATATTCTGCGACAAATTTCTAAAAACGTCACAAATTGGCATTATTATTTCATTTAACTTTAATAATGAATATTTATCTTCCGCGACGTTTGAAAACGTCGCAAAAAAACATTTAAGTTTAATTTAAAATTAATAAATTTATATTCTACGATGAATTAAAAAAAATGTCGCCAATTGACATTATTATTTCATTTAACTTTAATAATGAAAATTTATCTTCCGCGACGTTTTTTTTTTGAAAAACGTCGCAAAAAAACATTTTAAGTCTAATTTAAAATTAATAAATTTACATTTTGCGACGAATTAAAAAAAACTTCGCCAATTGAAATTATTATTTCATTTAATTTTAATAATGAAAATTTATCTTCCGTGACGTTTTTCAAAAACGTCGCAAAAAAACATTTTAAGTCAATACTTTTTTGTCGTAAAAAATCTTAATTTTCCACCATTTTTCTCGCCAAAAATAATTTGAATCGAATCACCTTTTCGCGACGATTTTAAAAAACGTCGTAAAAAAATTCTCAAAAAATACTTTTGGCGACAAAAATATTATAACGTCGCGGATAGTATACTTTTTTGCGACAAATTAAAATTCGTCGCAAAAAAAGATTTTTGTTGTAGTGGTATAGATTCAAATATAAACGTAAACACTTTGTGCATGTAATGTCAAATGTTATAGTCCACGCTAAAGAAATTCATATTAAGAGACAAATTGAAATAAAAAAGGAAAGGAAAATTAGAAAAAAATAAAATCAACAAATTATCTACATCCACGAAATTAAATGTCAAATGGACTACGTCAACGTATTATTAATGGTAATTAATTATATGAGACTCAACTCTATTTATAGGGTGAGAAAATTCATTAGATAAATATAAGATAAATCATCAATCCTTATCTAATAGGATTACTCATAAGATATTGATAGATCTCATCTTATATATCACTCGCGCTCATCATTTTTTTTACTCAAATTAAATAGTGATAAATCTCTTTAAATTGTATCAATATCTCTATTACACGCACCTCGGAACGGAAAATCTCTTGGATCAAATTGAGCCAAGAAACCTTTTCTTAGAAGAGCTATAAAAGTATATGGAAGATCCTCATGTGATTGTATGGATGGAATTAATACACCCAAAGAAAACTAACATTTTCTTCTCCATTTTAAAATCATAAGAGTGGTCTGAAAAGATTCACAACAACGTTCCAACTTGTGAAGTCAACCCCCAACAGCACTTTTTGTTTCGTTCTGAAATTTACCATATAAAATAAAGTTTTCATGGGAATATGTGTGCCTATTAATGCGGATCTGGCAATTGTTTGAGAATGAGCATGTCTGTCGTTTCATACACTTGTGCCTAATCGTCATATTGCATCATGCATCCATCATATGTGCATGTACGCGATCACCATATGTTGTCATTACATAGCATTCCCATCCATCCCTGCATGGCATGAGATGCATTATTATTATATATATGCGTCATTGTTGACCATGCATGCTATGAGTTTACAGTCTTAACAAATTCTACAATATTAATGCGTAGCTGGGGTTGGGGGTGGGGGTATTCCATTTCCCACTCCATAATTTTAAAAAGTTTTAAGTATAACGCCATGGAGATTGAAAATAGTAGGTTATGGAATATGTTTGGACCAAAGCTGAGAGCATCCCCACTTAGTTTATTTGCTTACAATTGAACCTTCGTCATCATGCGTGGAGGGGTAATTCGGGGAATTTTTCCTACAATTTTTTTAAAATCTTTATTATTTCTTCATTTCTTTTTTTGGTAATTTTTGAATGAAGAAGAAATTTATTTTATTGGTAGAATTTTTTATTTCACTTCAATGAGACAAAATAAATATTGGGTATAACAGTAATATTACATCATCATTATCATGTGATGTAACTATTTAATAATAAACTTACAAGGTGACAAAATGAACTTCACTTATTTAAACATGGTAGTTAATTTCTTAAATGGACATGGTAGTTATTAAATTAAATGGGGTCTCATTGTTTATATGTTGGTTTATTTTTGGTTGTGACACTATGTGATAGCGATGATATGATTCAACTTAAAAGGGTAACTCAAGTAGTAATAAATGCATTTCAAGTAGTAACATAGATGAGTTGAAAAGCCAGATATCTTTATTTTAAATCTTGACAACCCTTTGAGGTCAGACCATGAGGGATTGAGACATAAAAAAATTGATCTAATTTATTGATATAATAATGTGTCAAGTGATAGAGTCTCATTAAAAAAGTACAACAATTACAGTCACAATAATACTATTAAATCATGTCATTGTCACATTATTATATCAACAAATTAAATTAATTTTTAAAATTTTAATAACATTACTCATTAGAAAAATTACACAAGACATAATTCCAAAAATATCTCGATGATCAAAACAAGATTGAAGTCTTGCCTTCAAACCAAATATTTTTAAGCAAAAAACTACGTAAACACTTTTTAATCACTTTTCTATTTATATCCTATTGCTAAGCTGTTTTCATACTATTATTTATTTTGCTTGGTTTTTCTAGCAATTTTAAACATATATCATTTCCTATTTATACTAATTTTTTCTTGTTTCTCTCTATTTCTTGTGAGATGTTACAATGTAGCTTTATGACCTTTTCATCATTAAGCTTTTCTTTCATCTTCTGTCCTTAATTACCATTTTCCTTACTTGCTGTCTTCTTTCTTGGGTTATGAAAAGTACTTGAGAACAATATTCTGTCAGATTCTGGACCATCATCTTCATCTTCAAACCAGTCACTAGAGGTTAAAAAACATGCGATCCTAACTTCTAGATATAATAAAGCCTTGTTAACTTAACGCTCGACATAAGAGAAAATGACAGACCACGTAATCCGTTCAAGCTTTGTCGATTTTGTGATCCATAATCTCCTCTCTGAAATTGCACATTCATTATCATCTTTGTCTGGTTTGTTATAGCTATTTATTCTCTTAATTACTCAATGCGAGTTGACACCAGTTAATGAATTTAATCTACTCTTAGGTCATGTTTGAATGACAATAATCTTGAGTGAGAATAGGTATCTTATTTCTTAATCTATGATTACCATGTTTAGATGACGTATTTGGTTTAAATTTTTATCGGGTATCTCATTACCGTAAGTATGAGAAACCCACTTTCTGTGGGAATTCAATACCCAACACTAAAGGTGGGATTTTGATTCCCAAAGTGATAGGAATCCTTAAAAAGGAAGGTAACTCACGTAATTTTTTGAATCCCATACAAGATTATTGATGCTGACCAAATACTTGATATGAGCTTCCAATGACATTTCAAACCTAAGAATTGCTTTCGTGGAAATAAAGTGTTCATTTCCACTCAAGATTACCGTCATCTAAACCTAACCTTAAAGAGAAAAACGAAAAACACTTACTCAAGAAATGGACAACTCTTTAACTAGTCGGACAAATCTATTTTGCCCCCTCCTTACTATTCAACACCAAGTAAAACTTGGAAGAGCCTTCTCACTTTGATGAGTGAAGTACTGCAAGTGGGAATTTACAAGTCTTCGGTAAACTAAAGACAGGAGAAGATGGTTCAGCAGAAAAACAAATCATTTTTTTAGGGTTTTCATTCTTTTATATGTCCAAAGAATATCTTATACAAAAATTTTAATCTTTATTGATCATTAGGTTGTTCGATCGAGCGATAAAATTACAAGAATGCACCTGCGGCTGTTCATGCTAATCAATTATGCCCAAGTTGAAGAATAGAGAAAACAAGTTCAAATATGACAATATATAGTGACAACATCTGCATATACTAATGTGGTGGGTCATGCAGAAATTTCGTATTGGTTAATTATTGGTCTTCCCTATCAATTTCGGATGCATGGTCGGAAGAGAATATCATTGAAAATTGGCGTTATTATATTTACGTCAAAGGTATGAATTGTCTCATTTTCAAGCATTTTGTGGTTCCCACACAATGTTACATCTCACCTGCCCTCTATATTCCTTCATTATTCTGTTAGGGTCCCCTCTCAAATTGCCATTCATTTACATTTGTCGTTGAAATATCTCTTCCCAATCAATAATTTTATTGTTGCTAATTGCAGCTCTTCTCCTCCTACACACACATACATACACTAAGAGAGAGAGAGAGAGAGAGAGAGAGAGAGAGAGAGAGAGACTTTCATGAAAGATATGTTCATGGATCCTTGCAAGTGAGAGACATATTTAATTAAGTTTTACCACCACCCCATATACGTAGTTGTCATGATTCCATATTTAAACAACAAATGTCAGTTTTGTGTCTATATATTATGCATAGATTCACTTCTTTATCATTTCCAAAGAGATTGACTATTCTACCTTTCACCCCCCCTCCCTCTTAATGTCTTGCCCTAATAAGTTTCTAACATAATAAACTACCTATGTCATGGTTGTATCACTTTCATAGTCAATTTCGTACACGGAAAAAG